ATTCGTGGTAAAAAAAGTCGCACGACAAACGCGCGTTTCCGAAGGCTACTTTCTCTATACTGTCCACACTAGACAACACCGTCTCTTTTCTCTCTATACTGTCCACGCTAGACAGCGCTGTCTTTTAGTTCTCTCCATACTGTCCACACTAGACAACACTGTCACTTATTTCTCTCCATACTGTCCACACTAGACAGCACTGTCTCTTAGTTCTCTCCATACTGTCCACACTAGACAGCACTGTCTCTTAGTTCTCTCTATACTGTCCACACTAGACAGCACTGTCTCTTAGTTCTCTCCATACTGTCCACACTAGACAACACCGTCTCTTAGTTCTCTCCATACTGTCCACACTAGACAGCAATGTCTCTTAGTTCTCTCTATACTGTGCACACTAGACAACACCGTCTTAGTTCCCTCTATACTGTCCACACAAGACAACACTGTCTCTTACGTCTCTCCATACTGTCCACACTAGACAACACTGTCTCTTAGTTCTTTCCATACTGTCCACACTAGACAACACTGTCTCTTAGTTCTCTCCATACTGTCCACACTAGACAACACAATCTCTTAGGTCTCGACATACTGTCAGCACTATTATATATTTTTGTGCAGCTGTTCTCACCAGTGGCTATATTTCCCTCCTTATATAGTCTCTACTGTGCTCTGCTCTTCTTGCCATTCTGCTTCTTACTTTCTCTGTTACTGGTGATGCAGCTCCGAGACCACTCTCCTATGTTGGTGGGACAGTATATGTGCTGTGTTTAGCAATCTTCCTCATTGTTTAATTGTCATATCCCTGTACACTGGTTTTCGTTACTATTTTTGGGGATCTGGACTGATGAGTCAAAATGTGAAATATTTGGTTCTAGAAAGGAGGCAGATTGTTGGCTGGATAGCTAAAGAGCAGTACAATAATGAGGGTGTGCAGCAACAGTGAAGCTTGGTGGAGGTTCCTTGCACGCCTGGGGCTGCATTTCTGCCAATGGAGTTGGAGGTTTGGTCAGGATCAATGGAGTCCTCAATGCTGAGAAATACAAGTAGATCCATGTCATACATTTAGGGAGGCATGTGATTGACCCATGATTCTGCAGCAGGACAATGACCCCGAACATACAGCCAATGTCATTAAGAAATATCTTCAGAGTAAAGAAGAAGGAGTCCTGGAAGTGATTGTTTGGCCCCCCACAGAGCCCCAATCTCAACATCAAGTCTGTCTGAGAGTACATGAAGAGACAGAAGGATTTGAGGCAGCCGACATCCACAGAAGATCTGTGCTTAGTTTTCCAAGATGTTTGGAACCTACCTGCCGAGATCCTTCAAAAACTGTGTGCAAGTTTATCTAGAAGAATTGATGCTGTTTTGAAGGCAAAGGGTGGTCACACCAAAAATTGATTAGATTTGGATTTCTCTTCCGTACATTTTCCGTTTTGTTAACTTTTGCACAGTACTGCAAATAAAGACATTATGTATCTCCTCTTAATTCATGTAGAAGCAGTAGGGGTGTACTTAGTTTTTCCACACATGGCTTCTCCATTTTGTCTTTATGTTTGTAAAATAATCACAGTGTAATATGTCATGTGGTTCACCTTCATCTGAGGTTGTATTTACCTAATTCGAAGACTTGCTAATGACCAGATGTTTTTTTATTATGTCAAACCATACATTTCAAACAGGGTGTGCTTTCTTTTCTTTTTCACACGACTGTATATGAGCGAGAGTTTATATTGTGGTCACTCGATGCAAGGGAATCTCATGTGCATTACAGCAACAGTATATGAGTGTGTACGGATATTCTTCTTGACACTATGAACAAACGCAAGCTAGATAACATTTTCTTTTATGAAAAATAAATTTATTACTTAACACCTTGCTTTAACAATGTTGAATTAATTTGTAATCAGAATACTTGTCATTCATGTAAAATAGTTTGATACAGTACATTGTATGTTACAGCTTCTGTCTTTCCTTGAAAATCCTAAGGCTTTCCTACCCCTCGTCCTCCACTGTAACAGGAGCCACCTTAAAATAAGGTGACGACCAAATAAAAACAAATAGGAACTGATTTGAAGTCCACTACACCAAGCCAGCTTAATAAGAATATCTGAACAGACGCTTTGTCTGGTGAGCAGCAGCTATCATGCTGGTCATTTCGGCATTGTTACAACTCCATAGCATGCTCACAATTCAGCAACATCAATAGGAAAAAAAAATAAAAAATAGGACAATCCATTTGTACAGGTTTGCTGCAGCAAACGGATTCAAATCAGTTTCAGACATAACAACTATCAAATAGCAGCTTTAATACCAGTCAAGTTAAGAGAAGCAAAATTAATATTTAAAGAAGGTTTGTATAGAGGAACAAGGCAGTATAGTTACAGAGTAGCCAGGTTTGCTGCACAGTGACCGCATCCACCTGGTCCCCATGCTGTGTGCGTATTAGTATGTATTAAAGCAGGGGTAGGCAACCTCGGCTCACCAGCTGCTGTGAGACTACAAGTCCCATGAGGCATTGCAAGAATCTGACAGCCACAGGCATGACTCCCAGAGGCATGATGGGATAATGTAGTTTCACCGAGCTGGCGTACCGAAGTTGCCTACCCCTGTATTAAAGCATCTGATAAATCACACAAACATCTGTGAAGTTTAACTCTACCTCTGAAAAGCCTTTGGTTTTCGGTCTCTGACAGAATTCCTCTTTTGCCTGCAAGAAATCTCAGATGCTTTTTCTTTCTAGTTTTGAATGGAGTGTAGAAGGATTAGGACCACTGTTGGCTCTTTACTGCTATCTGGTGCAGCGTTGTGACATATTTTCCCTCACTTTGACCTGCTGACAGCGTTTTACCAGACAGAAATTAAGGAAGGACTCTGCAACAGGTACAAAGGCAGAAAAAAAAAAACTGACATGGGTTCTAACCTTCTTACTGCTGTTGGAGAGTTGACCTCACTTCCTTTTAGGTAAATGGTTGTCAGTAGGACAGGAAGTGAGGGTTCATCTCTCCAGCCCTGCAAAGCAGCAGAAACCAGACAGGGGTTCTAACCTTCCCCACTAACCAAAACGAAAAAAAACAAACCAGCTGGACAACTTGTAAATGTGAGCTTCCAAACATACCAAAAATGAAAGCTTGCCAAGAGCTCTATAGCATAGGTTTTCTACAGCAACACTAGCATATGTGAGTGTGAACGTTCTGACCCAGATATTGGTTTCCTTGACCTCCTGTGGACTTCTCTGTCACAAAAAAAAGTTTTCATTCTAATGTATGTGGTTAAGATATGCAATGAGATTCAGAAGATTAATTCCTTTTTTATTCCACACCCCGATTCATTTCTCTCTGTATCTTCATTCAGACCATGCTGCCCAGTAGAGCCGACAGTGGTGGGGACAAATGATATGCTGTCAAGGGTGCTTACAATGGTCACCCGCAATTCACATGGTTTAAATCTTTGCTGCAGCTGCTCAACCACCCCTACAGTGCTATACTTTGTCCCAAACCCTGTCACTTTGGCTGGACAGCTCGGTCTATGTGTAAATGGGGAGAAAAAAAATATATATAAAAAGCATGTGATAAGCAATTTGTGTGCCGAATTCAATATTCTTTTGTTGTCCTTTAAAGAAGAACGCCAGTAATTGTAAAACGAACCCATGCAGAGGGGATACCCCTGCACTGCAAAGGTTAAAGTGACATTAAACGCTCAGATTTTTTTAACACAAACGAATACTGTAATGTGCGCCTTACTGTAATCCATGGTTGTTTCCCTTTTCTTTGCTGCTCTTCCTTTTAATTCCTCATGTCTTCTCATGCTTGGGGAGAACTTCCCTTTGCAGCTCAGGGCCTCTTCCTGTAGTGCTGGCTCAGGTTGCAAACCTATACACAGACACCGTGTATCCATTCCAGAGACAAGGCAGTCTGCTGCAAAACAGAAGTTCTCCCCAGCATGAGAAGAGATAGATTTAAAAGGAAGAGCAGCAAAGAGAAGGGAAACAACCATGGATTACAGTAAGGCACACATTACAGTATTGTTTTAGGTTAAAAAATCTGAGGGTTTAATGTCACTTTAAGTGCTCGTTTTGTCTAGGGGCGCAAATAAAGCAGATATACTCACTTGATCCTGGCGGGCTGCTAGTCCGGGCCCTGCAGCCTCTTCTCCCCTGGGCTCTAGCAGTCTAAGGAACGCTGATGTCATCAAGTCTAATGCAGGTTCACTGACTTGCATTAGACATGAGAATGCTGAGGGACATTTTATAGACGTGAGCCCTGACTGCCAAAGTACTGAGGATCAGGTGAGTATATCTGCTTTATTTGCACCCCTAGACTAAAACGAGCACTTAACCCTTGTAGTGTGCCCAACTGCAAGGATATTTTTAAAATCCTGGAGTTCTTTAATGCAGAGTCCCATTAAACCATTATAAAGACATTCAAATAACTCAGCATTATTCTCTGTTAAGCTGGCCATACACCTATAGATTATCTGGAGACTTTCTATGGTCAGGTGGTTAAAGTGCAACAGATTCCTCCATCTACGCTGAACTGTGTGGATGGAGGAATCTCCCACTGGGACAAGCTTCATTATCCTGCTAGTCGGCCCTGCTGGCTCTCAAAACACCTGAACAATTGAACAATCTGATTGGATGCAGGCATTGTTCAGGTATTTTGAGACCCAGCAGGGCCGACTAGCAAGATACTGAAGCTTGGCCCAGTGGGAGATTCCTCCAGCCACACAGTTTAGCGTAGATGGAGGAATCTGTTGCACTTTTACCACCTGACCATAGAAAGTCTCCAGATAATCTATAGGTGTATGGCCAGCTTATCAAAATAAAATAAAATTCCATTGAAGAGACCGAGACCCCGTTGGCTGGAGAAAAATTTCAGATGTCTGCTGAACCAACCTGTCAACTTCCACCCAAAACTGCAATGGCGTTTTGGGGACTGACTGTCTCACACTAAAACACGCACTCACCAGGAGATTCACTGAATGTAGTTCACCATGCAGCCGTCGCATCCAAAATCAACTGAATGGCAGCCTCTGTGTCCATCTATAATAAAAGCATAAAATCTTTGGGAGGATCATACAAGAAAGGTTGTATAATAGGGCTAAAATGTAACAAAATGTTCTGGTCAACAAAATACTGTTTGCTGATCGTGATATTTTTGTTTTCTATCACCTAAGAAATAAAATGAGAAAAAAAAAATATGTTTTTATCTGACTAGGTTTAGCCTTTCGAGCATTGTGCCATGGTTATGAGCCTTTACTTGAACATAAAAAGAAAAAAAAAAATCAAGCTATTATTGGTCAGATAATATGCCAATAGTCACCACATACAATAACGAAAAACAGTTTGTTCCAAGCATACTTCACAGCTTTAACTGTTAGCATCACTGAAAGAAATGCATTGGTCGCATTGAACCATTTTCAAGTATACTATGGAAGTAGCAAATTCACAATATGGACTGTGCTAGAACTTGCGCTCTCTTGAAACCTCCCCGTGGGATTCTACATTCTGAGAAATGTTGTGTAACTTGGCTGCTGGACATTGTCAAGGTGTGGTCGTACAGTACATTCCAAAGCCAGGCTCCAGGCAGGCGGCTACAAGCTCGGTCCTGCAGCCCAAGCAACAGTGCATTTACGTTTCCTGGTACATGCTCTAGTACCGATGTGTCTGATGGGAGTACTGTGGAGGCTGCTGGGAGGTAGTCGAATATCCCATGCTGCTCTGAGGTTGTGATGTGCTTGGTCCAGGGTTTGGATAGGCAGCATGTGGATTGGAACGCTGAAAAATAGAGGTAAAACATTTGAGTGTTCAGTACTGACCATACAAAAAAAAAAATACACAAGAGACTTAAAAGGGTAAGTTCACTTTCTCATAAAATGTGTTAAAAAAAAAAAAAGAAGAATTAATTTACCCATGGCACCCTGCCACCTTCCCTTGCTCCCGCTGCGGTGTAGCGGTTTGTACAGTGTACACCCGGCTTCCCTGCCCTATGGAATGCTCATAATGCTTCCATAGGACGAGCGCTCACTGGTCAGCATGATAACATGGCCATGCTAACCAGAAGCGCTTCTCATTGGTCATTGTGAACATGTGACTGTGCTGACTAAGGAGCGTTGCTTTTGGGAGCATCATGAGCATTCCACAGTGCAGGGCTGGGAAGTCCTGTGTACACTGTACAGACCACCCAAAAATAAAAGTTATCCTCACCTGAACCTGGGAGCCGGCCCCTGGAGCATCTGTCCCCCTGCACTGCAGCTGTGTAAGGACCTTTGAATCATTACCTCCAATACAGTGTATAGGACATGAGTACGCAGAGGGACATACCATACCTGCACTGAAGAAAGGCTGGAAGGTGCTGCCGGCTCTGAGGATCGGGTGAGTAAAGCTTTTTTTTTTACATTTTTTACCCTAGGCAAAAATGAGCAGTTAACCCTTGCACTGCAGGGGTAGCCCGCCTGCAAGGGTTAATAAAATTTGTGCCCAGAGTTCTTCTTTAAAACTTTAAGACAAATCTTTGGTCGGTGGGACACAGCAAAATTCAAAAGTGATGGAGAGAAAACTGCCTTGGATCGAGCAGCAGTCACTCGCTAAGCATCATTAAAAATTGCATATTAAAGTCACTGCAGATATGAACAGCTGTCACCTATACCAATTCAGCATTCTACTCAAAGTCACAAACAAAAATTAAGTATAAGCGCCTTAATCTCCAATGGCATTCAGACTAGATCATTGAACACTGGGACCTTCCTGACAAGAGGAGAGAGAAGAGTAGTGACCTCATCCATGTACTTCTGCTCCTTCTCGGTCAGATCACTGGCCAAGCTGTGTTGTCCACTGTAGGGGTAAAAGGTAAGCTCATTGGCTATGCTGTCTGACAGAAGCACCATGATCACAAGAACAGAATTTCAGTTCTTTTGGGAGGTAAGAGAGATCATCTGTCTTTAAACAGTGTATTTAGCATTTTACATGGAGTTCAGCTTTAAAGCCCAATTGCAGGCACTACCATTTTCATAGCTTAAGGCTGGGTTCACACCTAGGCGTATCGAATATGCACGTTTGTCGCGCGTTTTTACCGCGATTCGCGGTAAAGAAAAACACGCGACAAACGCACGTTTCCGAGGGTTTCCTGGATGTATCCCAATGGATACGCGCGGCAAATACGCCCCAAATAAGCTCCTGTACTTCTTTGGGCGTAGGGCGTTTTGTAGCGCGTTCATATGGCCTGTATTACGCCCAGGTGTGAACCATACCCACCGGAAATAATGGGATTTCGGTGTTTGAGCGTTTTGCAGAGTGTAGGAACGCACTACAAAACGCCCAGGTGTGAACCGGGCCTTAGAGTACTAGCTAGGTGTTTAGCTCTCAGAAGCTGCTCAGCTGCTTTTATTGTTTGTGAATTGTGAACGCAATGATGAAAATGAGGGCCAGGATTTCTTTCTTTCTGGATCCCTGACATCAGCTGCTTTTATAACACATTGGGAAGGGTTTCAGATGTGAAAGGAATATTTAGCCTCTTATCTGCTTGCTTGTGACTTTCTTGGTCATGTGGGCATTTACTAGCAACAAATCTACTCTGCATCTCTTATCTGTTCAACGGTGAGAAGAATTGTTCTCCTCAGGACACAAGGTCAGAGCTAGAACTGCTGCTAAAACAATACATGTAAACATATGTACCCAAGAGCTCAGAATATTAGACGCAGGCTTTGATCAGATGCCATCTTCTGGCTTCTAAAGCCAGTTGTTGGTGAACATGTTTTATGCCCTTGCAGTGCATTGCTCCTCCTACATAAATCTTTCTTGGTAGTTATAAATTGATGAGCTGCTGGCTATTTCCCCCCTTTGATGTGTTTTGTACACTAAAAGGTCACCCGTGACTTCTATGTGTGGGTGTATCTTGGGTGACTGGGGTAACGTTCACACAATCTTCTTGTGGGTGCTGCTCTCAAAATTCAAGCTTCTCAAAACATTAGAGGCATTAGATTTTAACTGAGGATTTGAAATGGAAATCGCCCCCCCCCCCCCCCTTTTTTTTTTTTAAAATGAAATGATACTAATTGTGGGGGGAAAAAAGCTTTTAGTTTTAATCGTTGATTATTTAAAGAATGTAAAAGACCTTTAGAATAACGCTGTAAGGTTTGCGTTGCATCGCGTCCTGTTATGTCTTTTATTCTTTATTAAATGCTTTATTTTTACGGGGTTTGTTTCCATTTTCTTGTAAAGTCTGTTTCTTTTTCCTTTTGTTTGCCCCCCCCCCCCCCCTTTTTGTTTTTATTTACAAAAAACAGCTTTGGCAAAACAGCATCTGTCATTAGGACCTCCAGTACAAACATTTGTTTTTCAATGCAGGCCAATACTATTTGTTCTGTTATGCCCATGTGATGCAAAGAGTCAGATTGCAAACCCATTCTGTTTCCTTGTACCTGATAGTCTGAGGTCATGATGAGTCCACCTGAGGTAGTGGTAGGGGGGACAACTCTCACTTTCTTCAGCGGCGGTCCTTGTGCGTGGCTGTTGTCTTGGTTTCCCGGATGTCCGGTCCCATTGGTATGATTATTGCCTTGCTGCTGCTGCTGGTTTTTCTTTAGGGAGTTCAATAAAACCATTACAATGTGACACACAGATTAATAGAATACTAATATACAAAGTAATGACAAAACACTGCAGACACCAGCCGACAGATAAGGTAAGCAGGCTTTAACGAGGGGATGTAGAGAAGAGACAGATTCATACAAAATACAAACGTCTCGTTTTTAAATATGGCAGATTGTACAATCTATTCGAATTGGTTTAAACACACAGGTATACTCTGCTGGTGCTGGGCTGTGAGCCAACAGGGGGTATTGGTAGGTTGTATTATAGACCTCATTTAAATGTCACAAGTATAACACTGCAGCCAAATAATTAGCAAACAGATTCAGTGCAGCCTGATGTAACTGGATTCTAAATATTCTTACAAGAATTATGCTCTCTAAATGACACAAATATGCATGCAAGTATGATTGTTTTACTATGATGACAAACCATCCACTGGGAAGCAATCAGAAGCCACTAAGGAAGGCCAAACTTCACTTTTAAGATGCAATTGGAAAAACAAGTAGGATTTTTATATTTTTATAATTAAAAAAAAAAAGGACAACAAGTGACACATACTTTGTCTCCCTTATCCTCAGGCTCCTCTTCGGTCAGGAACTCCCGTTTCGGGTATGGTATCTGACAGCCTGCAAACACACTACAAAGAAAGCACTTGTTATAGTAGGTTTTCACACTTACACAAAACAGCACTAAACTATACATACACTAGGGACAGCGCCTGACACATCAGGATATGGGCCGACTGGTGCTAAAAGTACAGTTTCAGTGTGTTGCCCACAGGGAAAAATGAAAGCCGTACCAACAGAATGTCTTTCACCTCAATGTCGGAGCTCTTAGACACAAGGAGCCATGTGTGACCCAAGGTTTTCCCCTGCCAAAGTGTGAACTGAGCTTTGTGCACCGTATTAGTTAAGTAGCACCCGAGAACTGCCTTACATAAAGGTTCAATTAATGCCAAACTTCAGGACTAACCGGTAAATTCATACAGTATATGCAAATGGGTTAACCTGCCAAGAAATGCATTATTCTGTTCAGCTAGTCTTGTAATTCTTCGGCCACCCTGAACAGGCAAAATAGGACTGCGCAATAATCTGATTATGCTTTACAGCTCTTCTCGGTCTCCAATCTGCTAACTGGACAGAAATTCATCATAAAGCCAAGGACACGTTCACTAAGCAGGACATGAGAAGCTGTAAAACTCAGATAGCATCATCATCTTTCAGACTTCTAATGTGACAGGTGTATGAATCACATTAGTGGCTAAAAGCATTACAAATCCTTTGGCAGATAAGAGTTTACATATATGTATTTAAACTGGCTAAGCCACGATCAGGTTTGCTATAACCCCTCATCCCCAGCAGTATAGACACTTTACTTCCATCTCTGAACTACTCTCCTAGGCTGTCACTTGTGCTTTCAGTGGAGACTACAAGTGGCCATGCTTATGCTTATAGCACAGGCATGTTCCACTGTTGCCACCATCAGGAAGCTCTCCTGCAAAGTGACATGCAGGCCTGCCAATGGAGCGATTGATGTATACAGAAATGGCTGCAAAGGAGCACAGATGACATCAGCACCAGTGAGATGTGCCAATTATGAAAAGAATAAATAAAGCACAGTGTATAAAACCTTCCATTTTATTTTACGAAATCTAAAAGGTTCTCCAGAAAGTTTTAATTTTTAGAGGACACTATCTGGGTGACCAAACTTGTAACATTTTACACTTATTGATGTGAACAACAGGCTGCTGAGGATATTAAGTAAACTGGTAACGCACTCTGACGTAGGAAGTGGATCTTCAAGGAAATACGGATCTTGCATAGCTTGCTCAGATGAAATTCTCTTTATTGGGTCCATTGTGAGGAGTTTCTGAAGCTTTAAGAAACATACAATGTTAGCTGCAGTTAAGAAAACGTTTAAACTCAGACTTTAGGTTGATTTTTTGCCTCTGTAATATAAAATAGAACTACGCCTTTGGTACAGTTCCCCTTATCATGTAGATTTCTTTGCTCCTAGTGCTGGGACATGGGAGTACAAACTGGAGAGAGCACAGTGCATGCAAGGCTCCAAAGATTTGGACAAGTGGCTGTGACAACAATATCTTGTTGGATTGGGAGTTGGCAAGTATAAGACACAGTGGAGTTTGTTCGCTGAAGAATGGGGAACCTACAGCACTTTTTTTTTAAGTTTTGCTCCGAGAACGGTCAGGTTTTTAGTTTGGCCTGTGTCACCATTGGGGATATTTCCCCTCACTTCCTGTCGTAAAAGGAAATTACAATGAAGTGTCAGTACTGACAAAGCACAGAATGTCTTGCATTCTATTTCATAAGCGACTTTCTGTAATGGCAAATAATGTAGAGCTGTCTCTTAGCAGGCAACGGACCTGACCCCAAGTTACTTTAAACTAGTGCTATCATAATAATTCAATCAACAAGAAAAACTTACCAAATGGAATGTTTTGCTGTCTGGTTTTACTTTATGCTTTTCCATGTATTTGATAAGGCTGCAGTTGGTATACCTAAAAAAGAAAATCAATCTTAGGCTGCGAGTGGTCTGAATGCAGCACAGTATGACATTTGTACACACATACATACGAGTTGCATTATGTGGTGTATTTACGCTGCTCATGCGATTTTTAGGGCAATTCTCACCAAGTACACAGCAGTGCATTTTTATTCTGCAGCAAAACATAGAAAATGTGAAAAATGTATATCTTTTTTAATCATTTCCTATTTCCACCACTGGAAAGCACTGCAAAAGAGCAAAGATGTTCCCATTTTTCATTTAAGTCAAAGAAAGCTGGATGAAAACCCCCACAAGGACCACAAGGCCCCCACACTGCGGTGCATTTTATTTTCAATGCAAGTTACAGTAAGAACATATTTTTTGGGGGTGTTCCCTGTGTTCTTCCACGCAGAGTGAGCAAAGTGTGCAGCCAAAGAAAGTTCAGCATGACCCCTGAAACCTGGCCTTATATTTGTGCATTTATGACCAAGGGCGCGTGTGCACCATCCCTAGTACAGTTGTTCATTGCTAGCACTTTTCCTCCTCAGCATTGCTATGGCTAAAGCTGATCATACACTGCTATTTTTTTACGTTGAACCCACTGACTGAATGGAGGAAAAATAGAGCAGATTCCTCCAAGGCAAGAGTGTGTTGACTGAGGAATCCCCGCTGTTTCTTTTGTATTCTGACAGCAGCCGCCAGTTGCCAAACAAACAGAGCTGGCAGCTCATTGGCTGCCAGCTCTGTTCATATGAAGATTTTCCAACAGCTGATCAAGCTATGCTGGCCGAAAGGGTACCGACAGAAGCACCCACTGTGTGAATTTCGTTCGCAGTGTATGGCCACCTTTAAACTGCCTTAAAACATAGGCATTATCTCAGTGAAAGAACCACAGAAAAGCACCAGTGAAACGACGTGGCCATATGTTCCAAAAAAGTGGTATGTGGGAAAGCCTATCCCACCTCAACCTAACCACTGAACCATCACGCTCTATAACATCATTCATCCCCACACAGCTACCTCCTCATGTATCATTTCTCCCTCCCTTTTAGAATGTAAGCCCTCAGGGGCAGGGCCCTCCTTACCATCTTGTCTTGAATTGTATTGTAACTGTTATGTCTTCCTTATATTGTAAAGCGCTGCGCAAACTGTTGGCTATGTATAAATACTATGTAATAATAATACAAATATTCACAAGAAGTAATATGCAAGAATGCTCAAAATACACTGTAAAAACGCAGGGCAATGCAAAAACAGACGAACGCTCATCAATGTGTCTGAATGCACCCCACTGCATGCGATTTTTTTTTCATAAAAATTATGCTTAAAAGTAATCTGTTCTCCGGGAGGGATTGATCCCTTTAATCACCTGTTTACACTACACATTAAAAAAGAAGTCATTGTAAGATGCACAACTATGACAGTGGCTGGTTGCAAACAAAGGCGGACCGCATACGTAGGCTCCATTCACACAGGGGTGGTTGTCCGCACGGATTCGGCCGGCGACACTCGGAGCTGCTCTAAAAAGAGAAAACACAATGCACTTTAATGTGCATTGCTCAGACTCTTGCAGCTGGCTGCACGGTATGAAACCATACCGACTGCAAAAATCATACAAGTGCAATAATATGGTGATTTATATTATATATATA